GCCCAGGCCAACCAAGCCTTCCATCCCTCCGGGATCGATGAATTGGTATCAGACTCGTCTGGGAGGATAAAAGCACTAACTTGTACATCGGCTGGCCACCGCAAGTCATTGTATAGGTCACATACGCATCAATGCGCCACTACGATTTTGAATGGAAGTCGAGTGCGAGGCGCATCCCTCAGACGGGATTGATTAACGCCGAAAACTTTATCCTCTATCCTTTACCAACAAAAAACAAAAATCCGATGAAGACGAACTTTTTTTTGAGTGTATACTACATTCCTTACTGCAATCATGATAAAATTTCAAATTAATTTCAGGCTGTGGTCTAACAAAACGAGATTACACGACTGATGAACTTGTGAATGCTTGCGCAGGAAAGAAAATCATCAGACCAGCTCAAGGATACATGCTAGTGATCGACAGCAGAGTTGTCACCGAAGCACAATTGAACGCACTATGCTCAAGAGCTGTCTACATGGAAATCTGTATCAACGTCTTCCAATCGCCTATCCAACAAATAAGCTGCCCTCATCTGCGTGTTTTGAAACCATGCATGCCTAGTTAGTTGAAAAGGATCTCCTATTCCCAAAAACTATTAAAATAAGTACAAATAATTGGTTGTTTCAGATAAGCTGGCTCTGAGAGTGGTGAACAACAATGCCCTGACGAACATCGTTCTCTCCGATTCCCTTCGCCTTTCCAAGTCAATAGAGGTCCGCGGCAACCAGCTGCTCAGTGCTGAATCAAGGAGAAAGCTCAAATTAATCTGTCCTGCTTGCATTATTCGTTAATGCTGCATCAGATTTAATAACGATTTCTCTGAGATAAATGGTAACTCAATCCTTCACGCTCTTCAAAAACATAAACAGTCGCGAGGATATTATGCATATGATCGGACCCTTTATCATTAACTTCTACGGTGCCAGATTAACTTGCCCATTTCCATGCAGATGGACGAAATAGGCATCACATCATTAGTTTCAGTATGGAAACAAATTCCGGAGCGATCGTACTCTAGAAAGCTTTTTGGTAGTGACTTATCTTTCTACACAAGTCAATTTTTAAGCAGCAGGCCTGATAAGTTTAAATGCAGCGCTTCTATTAAAGGCACAGCTCACGATAATTTTGTGGTACCGCTTTTAAGTCGAAAAGCGGAAGTATTGGTTGGGATTAGGGCATGGGTGGTAAAGGAAGCGAGAAAATTCTCCAATTTGGCGGGAAATAAGGCTCTTCAAACGCAGTGAAAATAGAGCTCGTACGAGATTAAAATGACGGAAGTAACGTAGAAGAGGCATTCAGATGAGATCCTAGTTATTGTATCTGCGCAAAGAGTTGACTACATCAAGCCAGACTGTACAGAACTGCCTTTCACTGTTGCTATTGGGTCACGACAAGTTGCTTGAACTACCTACATGGGTTCCCTCGTAAATTGTGCACCCTTTGCAATGCCGTTGAAACTCGTCCGCGCATACACAGGAACAACCCTTGAGCCTTTATAACGCCCTAACTAAGCCGTCTTCCTACCTGATAACGCCAGATATGGTATTACAAGGAAGCTCCAATTCATCCCATGGAAAAATCTTAAAATCCATTTTCATCGTGGTGAACTATGCCTTTGAAGGAAAACTGGGAGTTGACTGGGAGTTGACTGGAAACTTTAGAAAAACTTGTACAGTAGATCTATTTGTCCGCGTTTGATATGAACAACCCAACACAGCACAGATGGAGTGCAAAATCAGGGTACAAATGTTTCTAAAATCTTTGGGTATAAAATGGTGATCAGCACACCAGAACGACAAGAAAATATAGCTCGGTCAAATGGCTATACCGTACCACAATGTAATACTGGAAGATACCACGTTGACAGGAAAAACACTGCGCAAAAACAAGCTTCCTCTATGTTTGCCGTTCATCTTTGACAAGGTATCTGCAGCAATACAACGGTGTATTGTTCGGGCACAGTTGAGCGATGATGTTATTCTAGTTAACATTCCACCTGATAACATCAAACGCCAACTTGGGAGGAACAGACTCTACGACAAGCAGTGCCTGACAGAGGTTGCGTTACATGTACAAACGGGAAAGCTGGAGATTGCACTTCTATAGGCGTAATTTATCAGATTCAATGTGAGGCATGTAACACAAGTTACATAAGGAAACTGGAAGAGTTTCATCAGTACGAATAAAAAAGCATCTTGC